AGTTTGTCATAAGATGCGATACAGGAAAATTTTAGCAATTCAGCACAATGTAGCTTAGCCATACTAGATACAAACCCCTAAGTCTGCATTTAATAGTTAGTGTAGATAGCATAGATACTACAGGTACTGATGTGTGAGCCAGTTTAGCCTCAAATTTGCTAGCAGTCTGAGTAGGTAGCTGCCTGCAACTGGGGCAAGATATATAGAGTCCCCGACTGCAGACCAGTGCTATACAAAGGCAGGCAGAAGAAGATGAGACATGCGTATTCCAGGGAACAAAATGCCATAACTGAATGATCAACAACCCCCCCCTCACTGCTGGGAGTCAAGGAGATTGACAGAGAAGGGGATTAGGCAAAATCCACACATACATACAGACAAAATACTTTGTGCACAGTGTCTGCATGTTTCCTTCCTGCTATCTTATTTTGGGTAGCTTCAGTCAGTGATAATGATCAGTTTTATTTTGGGGATGCCTGGCTGGAAGCGCATGGAGGGGCCAGACGTGCGTTGACAGGTCCTGTATTCCTGGCGCAGCGCACATGCAGGTCTGATGTGGATGCTAAGTCCTAAAGACAGATACTGCATCTAGGCTGTGGGCTAAAGCTTGAGTCGCCGCTGAACACAAATTCACTAAATCCAAACAGTCACATGACAGCAGTGTCATAGCTTCCAAAATTATTTCAATAGTATCTAAAAAAATTCAGCACTGCTGTTTGCTCGCTAAAGGTTTAAAAGGAAGCGTCTGAATCTTTGTGTCTCAAGCTGGTGTAAGAAACAAATAAGGTTGTTTTTCAGGTTTGTTCTTCCTTTTTACAACTACACGCTAATTATGAATTATAAAATGTTGATAGAAATATCAACGCTAATCATTTAAAAAAATGTGGCTTTACACTTCTCTATATGCTTGTCTTCATCCAGTTTCACAACTTAATTCTCAGTCTCCTCCTCCTCCTCCTCCGCTGTGGTTTGAATGGAGGTGAACTCATGCAGGGGGCTGTGGATGTCTAACATGGCCGCTGTTTGATACCCCCTGGTGCATTAGGGGGGTCGCTACTTATATTTGTCAAGGTCAATTAATGAATGCCGGGGTAAAGCTGGCAGGGTCCCCAAAATGCCCCCGGGGCTCATAAATTACCCAGAAGACACATTAAAGGACACGATTTGATCTCCTCCAATTAAGATAATTTAGATTTTTTTCCCTTAACCAAATGCCTACATAGCACCCAGTCAGGTGTAGCCTACATCACTGTTCCTCCCTGCCTCCCTCCCTCCCTCCTTCAGCCTCCATCCTGCAGCTACACCACAACAGTGGCAACAAACCATAGAAGGATGTCCTGCCTGAGCTAATATTTATTTATTTTTATTTTTTTCCTTGCGTTAATGCACAGTTCACCCTGCGTGGCACCTTGATCCGTCATAAAACAAAAGAAAGGGTTTCTTTTTTTTGTATCTCCCCCCCTTTTTTTTCTTCTTTCTGATTTTTCTTTTTTTACGCCAGAGGCTCAGCTGTGCCCCCCACCACCCCCACCCCTGCACCTTTAAGGCAATGGAGAGGGAGGAAAGCGGCTGCGGAGAAGGAAGCGAGGTTTTATTCCACGGTGCTCTGAGGCAGGGCAGGTTATAAGCGCAGGGACCAGTGTGCGCAGTTTGTGTGTGCGGCTGCGGGGGGAAGATGCGTGTGCTTGTTGCTCGCCGGATGGAGAGAGGTGGCGAAGAGAGAATGAGTTTCCAGCGCAGCTAACAGTCAACTCCATGCGCTTTTTAATCCTCGACAGAAATTCCAACTTTTTACGCATTTTTTTCCCCGCACATACCTGAGATGACACGTTTGCCTCTTTTCAGGGCATAGACTTCTAATTCATTCATTCTTTATTGATTCTTTTCATTATTGGAGGCTTTTTTGGTTCTTATTTTTTATTTTTTTAATCTATTTTTTCTTTGATGTTTTAATTTTCTATCCGTGGATTTCGGTGTGCGCATAGGCAGTGCGTCCTGTGCTTTTGAGCCTCTGACTCAGCAGCAGCGGCAGCAGCACAGCTCACCTGGTCCGGAGCGCACCGAGCCGAGCTCCCTCATGTTCCACACAGAGCAGCACTCCGGTACGGGGGGACGGCTGCACTGAGGCCCGGCACGGTGCGGTCAGTCCTAAAAAAAAAAGAAAAAGAAAGGAGGGGTGAGACGCACAGTTGTGGATCATATACCATCTCCCGTTGTACCAGGAGACAATCAGCAGCAGGAAAAAGCTCAAACCTCCTCCTCTTCATCTTCTTCCCAACGTGAAGGATTGAGAGAGAGAGAGAGGGAGAGAGCGCGCGCGAGAGGGAGAGAGAGATTTGAAGGCTCCCTTTTCTTATATTGCAATTGACTTGGGAAAAAATAAAAAAGGGGGGAAATAATAAGAAGAAAGAGTGCGTGGAGAGAAGAAGAAAAAAGCATAAGCTTGGATATTGAACGGAGCGGGGCATGTGGATATTGGCTCTTTTCTTTTTCCAGTGCATCTTGAATGGTAAGTGATGCTTTTGCGCACATCGAACTTAAAGTTTATGCTGATTATCGAACAGAACCAAGCTGTAATTAATACGCAGGGTGGTCTGGAACCATTTCTACTTTGGGGATAATATTTATTTATATTTTGTCTCGGGGAAACGATGTGTAGAACAGGCTGTTGCTATGTCCTGTCACTGACAGTGGGGCTTTTGGTGGGAGGTTGATATTTACTTGCACAGTAACCTTTAATAAAGTGAAAATGTTTCAGCCCCTCATACACCTTCGATATTTAACAATAACCTTGTGCAGATAGAGAAGCAGAGAGAGGGGAGAAATGTAGGTTGTGGATAGGTGCAGCCTGTACTGCATGAAGAACAAGGCTCTTTACAGGAATATTTCTATTTTCCTTTTTCTACAATGATTTTTTTCAGTAAAATTTAGGGTCAAAATAAATTGGAACAATTATCAGTTTTCATTTTCAATTTGTACAGAAAGGATTATTTATTCCCTCTCTTGAAGCTAAGCTGGGCCTCAGTTTGGCTGCATTTTCATACATCATTTTTAGGTGCCGGATCTGCACTGTTTATAAATCAGATTTCTATTTGTATAAATTATGAAAGTAATATTTTAGTAAATCCTTTTGTGGGAACACAGTTGTGTGTTACTTGGTGCAATCAGCCTTTGGTTGTTTTAATCTCTATTCTGCTTTTGAGAGGCATTCAAACAAAAACCGTTATTTGCATGAAATAATTTCTTTATTGACATTCACAATGATTTTCTCTTCAAAAATCTACTCACGAGCCAAGAAACGAGCTGGTGAATATGTCAGATATTTACTTTCATTCTGTAATTTATTTAAAGTAAAAAAAAAAAAATGAACAAAATGCTTTGCACATGTAACTGCATGTTTGTGTGCTTTCTCTCAGATCTATTAATTGTCTCCTTGAAAAAGAATGAAAAGGTTGGCTAGTTGTTTTGTGTGTGTGTTTCTTTTTTTTTTCCGGCATTGCACCCGCCATATTAGAAGCACAGACATGGAGTCATTTTGAATTGGGGGGAAAAAAAAAAGAGACAAGCCCTTATCACCCTTGCCCAAATGCACATCTCGCAAAATGCATCCACATCCCGTTTTGTATACAGTGAATTCCTCAAAAGATTGGCTTGATAAGTGGTAGTTGTATCTTTCTTTGGAGTGGGGGTAACTGATTTTTTTTTTTTTTTTACAGCGAACACAGGAATTGGAAAAGGGGGGGTGGTGAGGGACAAGGGGCTGTGGGGTATAGGACGGGATGTGCGCATGTTGGGGGGCAGAAATCGTCTCGAAAGAAAATTGAGCTATTTTGAAGATCTTTTGAAAGATACGTGGAAGCAAAGGGGTTAAAAAAATAAGACTGGACACAATGTGAACTGAGAGTAGACGATGATGCATCAAGCAAAGATGACAGGAAAACCATTTTGTTGCCAATGTGAAGGGTTGTGTGAAGGCAGGGTTTATTTATAGGAGAGAACGGATTCGAAGCAAATCCTCTTTTTGCTGCAGCCGAGACGAGAGAATTTCCAAGAACACGAGAGGACACTGGTGTTCATTTGAAATCGAACTAAATGCTGTGCCGAAATCCCCGTTTGCAGAGCGAGATCCATGGCTTAGCTTGCTTGTGAATGGCTTTTTTCAGTCTCTTTGGTCCAGGCAACAGTGTTGCAAAATGGCTGCTACTAGAGACATCTACATGGAAACTTTGAATGGCAGCAACAGCACTTGTAATTGTGATGAATGCTACGTTTGAGGCTGCTGCTGCTGATGCGGTACCATTTGTATCAGCAGACGTGAATCCTCTGACGCTGACCTTTTCTTCTCATTCAGAGATCCGAGCGTCGTTTTTGTGTCGGAAAGTAGAATTGACCAGTGTTAATCGTGATGATCCCTGTATTTTTCCTGTGCCACGCTAAAATTGACAGTACACAGAATTAAAAGGCTGTGAGTGGCGATGTTAGATGCTATTGTTTCTGCCGTGCATTTGTTTTCAGTGGACAGACCTGCAAAGACTGCACTTAACGAGCCATTTCCATCCGAATCGTACATTTTTACACCTCTTGTGGATGGAGAGATGAAGCTTTACGAAATAAAGGCTTTTAGAGCTCTGGTCCGGTACAGGCTGCTGAGGTTGTCTCTATGGAGACCTGGGTAATGAGTGTTGCTGCAGTGTGGGCTTTGGGCTTGACAAACACTGCACTCTGTTCAGGTGACCTGATCAGTGCTTCTCGATACACATCACGGCCTTTCATTTATTTTCAAAAACCGATGCATGTCTGTGCAGGTGTCGTTTGCATGCACTATATTTGCATTGGCGCTTAATAGAAAATGTATTTAAAGATTGCAGCTCCTGGCTATTTGCACAGCTTTTCAGTGATCATTTATGAATAGTATCTACTGTACAAACTCCATTTTGCTCTGAATTGCTGTTTTCCAATTTGAGGACACATTTGCAAGCTCATCTACAAGAGATATAAACAATTCAGCACTGTAGAGAGTAAAATCTGCTGTAGAGTTCACTCCAGTGGTGCTTGAGCTTTTAAAGTGCTCTTACAAAAGTGTCTATCCTAAATGGAATAGGAAAAACATTCCAGTTATGAAGAGAGAAAATTGGGGAAATGGCATAATGTTGTTTTTGCTTAGCTATGCCAGGGGGGGAAATCTGACACATGCTCAATTGGACACTAATAAGCTGTGTAAATATACAGTGAAGCGCCTCAATTGGCTCTTAGTATCACTCTGCGCATGTTTATTTTTAGCTTTTAGCTTGGGATGGAAAGGGGGATGCTGGAGAAAAGGTCTTTATCGTGTTATCAAACATGATTAATGTCGGAGCAGACTTTCGTTTTCCTCAGCGTTTCTTTCTGTTTTACAACATCGTACTGCAAACTTTTCACAATAACCAACAACTGTTTCCAGCTTTAAAAATATAAAACACCAAGACCCAGGAATATTTATTCAGATATGATCAAATTATGTAACGAAACATCACTGACATCACACAGTGGCTCGGTTATACCTATATATTTTTATATTCATATCATTGTTCTAATCAGTAGAGCGTATAGTTGTAAATTTCTCACACTAAGTAACAACTTTCATTTGCTTTCCACAATATTTCCTGTCACAGAAGAGTGAAAAAGGAACTCGTGTTGGTTGTTCAGGAATTTGATCCATGTTATGTAAAAGATTGTGTTCCTCATCAAATATATA